GTTGAGGCGCACTCATAGAAGTGATAATGTGACTACGATCCGGATGGCACTGCTCAACACCAGCTTATTAAAGAACAAGTCCTTAATCCTAAATGCCGCAGGTGGACACCATCCACAGGGGTGCGTGGGCCAAGAGTGAGAGCCCGTAATGAGCTCCACCCAGGCAGAGAGGAGGAGGAGAGACAAAAAACTAAAACTAACAACAACAAAACCTGTAGCCAGCGTGGGCCAACCAGAGAGACACGGGGACCGTGACACTTGGTCTTTAAAAACAAATTTCGAGTACAGCAATTGCCTCCTGCCATGTACTCCAAGGCCACACACTTGATCTGGTATTGTCATATGGTCTGGACATGCACATTACGGATATAAGCGACGCTCGGTCCCAGTCATGTTTGATATTGAACTTTGTAATGTGGAATTGAATTGTGCCAAGTGTGCACGATTAATCCTGAGATTACCAGCTTCTCTGTGGCCTTTACTAACTCTACTTTTTATGATACCAACTCTAATTCAGCTATATCGGTTGATGAATTTTCTAACTCCTTTATTTCAATATGCTCCTCGATTTTAAACACTGTGGCTCCATTAAGGGCTTACCAACCATGGCTGAATGAATCCACCCGCGCTCTCAGGCGTGAATGTCACCGAGCCGATTATTATATGTACAATATATAATAGTATATGCATTACTGGATGTGTATACTAAATAAATGTGTTTTTCTACGTGTGTGTGTGTGTGTGTGTATACATATTTTACAAATTAAATAGAGTAAACAATAAAATAAAATATATAAATCATCATCATTTACAGACTTCTGCACAACTAGGTGTTTGGGGATTATTTGATTTGAATTGGCTCTGTTGGTATAGGTAACATCTAAAATGTGCATGATAGGGGTCCATGAGGGCCAGAATTTGACATTCCTGACTTCTAGTCAAGGTCATACATCAGGAAAGTTGTTGTTTGTGACATAAGTTTTTGCTTTATTGCTTCAGCGCCAACCAGTAGAGATAAAAGAATAGGAAGAATGAAAAGATCTCAAAATATTGAGAATTTCTTCCTTAAGAAGGCTAAAATACAACCAGAAGCAGAGAGCAATGTCAGGGAAAGGTGGACTGAGCAGCAGTCATCATTGTCACCTGTGAGTTCTACAAATGAAGGTATGTGAGAATGAATAAGGAAAATGCAAGGAAGGGATGTTTATATTGTCAAGTGTTCAACCGATCCTAATATTTGGGGATAAATAATTAACTAAACAAATATATGTATTGTGGCACCTAATTGGAAAGTAAAACAAAATCCTTCTTTAAATAACAGTTTTTTTTTATTTAATGAAATGTAATATTTGTATATTATCCCAGGCACTTGTAGTGTTTAAAATCTTATTCTAATAAGAGTTAAAAGTGCATTCGGTTATTAGGTTCATAGGGTTATTGAATTATGGTTAACGCTTGGTAGAATTTTTTTTAACATTATCTGCCAATTACATCTGCCACCCTTCTCCAAATCTGTGCCCCTACCTGCCCCCCCCAAACAAACATGCCACTGGTTCCGACTGCCTTCAAACACGCAGCCGTACAACCTGTAATCAAGAAAAGCAACGCTGACCCCAACAGTCCTTCAAGCCGATCTCATGAAACTTCCTTTCATGTCTAAAATGAAAAAAAAATAGTCCTTCTTAGAGACGTGGTGTCAGTGACAAATTTCAATTTGGATTCAAACGCTGTCATAGTACCGAGACAGCCTTATTGAGAGGTTTTAATGATCTCCTCCTAACTGCCGCCCTGTGACTCTAGTCTTATTAGATCTAACTTCTGCTTTCAATACGCTAGACCATAATATTCTCCTAACAAGGCTAGAACATGTAGTTGGCCTTAAAGGTAATGTTCTTTCATGGTTTAAATCGTATCTATCAGACAGATACTTCTCTGTCACCATGGGGCAATACTCTTCCTCTTCTTCCCCTGTTAATTGTGGTGTGCCTCAGGGGTCCGTATTAAGTCCCACGCTGTTCTCCCTGTACATGCTGCCCTTGGGACTCATCTTTAAAAAAACATAACATCTCCTATCACTACTATGCAGATGATATCCAAATTTACTTTCCTCTAAATTTGGATGCCTCGTCCCCGCTCTCGCCTTTGTTCGAATGTCTGCGGGAGGTTAAAGACTGGCTATCCCAGAATTCTCTTAAATGAAAGAAAAACAGAAATTTGTGCTTTTGATAGCCACGTTCCCCTGGGCCAGCTAACTGATACAATGGGGTCTTTTGCCAGCCACTTTTCTCATTCTGCCAGAAACCTCGAAGTGCTCATCGATAGTTCTTTTAAATTAAACAAGCAAGTATCCACTGTGTTAAAAACCAGCTTTTATCAATTACGCCAAATTTCCAAAGCTAAGCCCTATTTATCATATAAAGAACTCGAAAAACTTATCCATGCCTTCATCACTTTTAGATTGGACTATTGCAACTCTCCCTCCTTCAGTGCCTGCAATTAGTCCAAAATGCAGCACCACGCCTCTTAACTGGCACTAGAAGGCATGAGCACATCACCCCTGTCCTCGCTAACCTACACTGGCTTCCCGTCAAATATTGCATTGATTTCAAAATCCTTCTGCTCACTTTTAAAATTCTAAATAACCTGGGCCCTAGCTACTTAACTGATCTCCTTGATCCGTACAACGCAAAGAGAGCACTAAGATCCTCCAGCCAACTTCTAATGCGACCAAGGTCTCGTTTAAAAAACGGAGGTGACCGTGCATTTGCCATCGCTGCCCCTAGACTCTGGAATAACCTCCTAGTCGAAATCCGTACTTCGGAATCGATTCAATTGTTCAAATCCTGTTTAAAAACACACTTGTTTGTACTTAGCTTTTGAAACAAATTAGTTTGACTTTCAAATTAGTTTGCCTGCACTACACCATGTTAATGCAATTTTAAGTATAATTGTACTATTTGTACTTTGCCCTGCCTGCACTGCGGTTTTATTGTGAAGCACTTTGATGTACATTAGTCTTTTAAATGATCTAAGAACTGTAACTTGCAGAATTGATTTCTTTCAACTGACTGCTTTAATATGATGTTTAGTATAATTTAAGTATTTTCTATGCTTGGCTGCAGCATTACTAGGGAGTTATGACCATTACGTTTATGCAGTAGCACTACTTGCAAGAAAGAAACGCTAATTTAAGGTGGTCTTCCCCCAAGTTCTCAACAAAAAGGTATTTCAGATGAAGAGTCTTACGTCATTTTGATTGGCTGACTGAGGATAAACAACAACCCAATGAAGGTGACGTGCAGATGTATGTTTTGGAAGAATGGTGGACCATCAAAGTAGTAATGTAACAAAGACAATGTAAAGGTTCATTCAAGCCATCTTGGTCTATATCAGGGGTGGGCAACTCCAGGCCTCGAGGGCCGGTGTCCTGCAGGTTTAGATGTGTCCGTGATCCAACATAGCTGATTTAAATGGCTAAATGACCTCAACATGTCCTGATGTTCTCCAGAGGCCTGGTAATGAACTAATCAGGCGTGTTGACGCAGGGTGAGATCTAAAACCTGCAGGACACCGGCCATGTTGGACCAGTTATTAGAGCAGCAGAAAGTCTGAAAGGCCAAGATTTGAACAGAAATTGTGCATTTTTCACTACTGGAACTCTGAACATATAAGATTTACTTCTTTACACGAATAAACCTAATAAATTTTAAAAAAAAGGCGCAACACAAACACTACTCCAAAGTCAACAGATTTATTTCCTTTAGCACTGAAGTTGTTCACAGTAACATCACAAGGGAATACATTGCAAATGGTTATCCTGCTCAGTAGTAGCGCTCAGTACCGAAGAGTCCATTCTGTGTGCTCTGGATTCCCACAGTAGAAAAAGAGGAAAGCGAATGATGAAAGGTATTGCTTTAATTTTTCTTTCTGACAACTCAACACACACCCAGATGGGCTGAGTGAGTGACCCAATTGCCAGCAAGGTCCCTCTTTGAGAGAATGAGTAAGGAGAATGCATTGCACGGTTACTGTGTGCACACAGTAATCAAAAAAGAGAAAGGACAGCAAATTAAATGAAAATGTAAAAAAACAAAAAGGCAAATTCAAATGAATGCACATAAAGAACTGAAACGTGTAGAGAAAAGGGGAAGAGGAGAACAATTCCAACGACAACATGCAAAGAAAAGACAAATGCTGAACATGCAAACAACCATACAAGGTCAAAGCTAAGAATAGGGATCCCCTTGTTTTTTTGTGGTTTTTTTTCTTTTCTTTTTTAAATAAGCTTGCCAGTAAACTCGGCTTATTTACAGAATGAGTGTTTGGTGAGTTCTGAGCCGTCATACGCGCACGGGGCATGGGGAAAAGGACAGTTATCAACAAAGGGTTTGTTCCTCTCAAAGAGGCTAAAACTACATTCTTAAATTACAGTAAATTATTTTCCCAAACATATATTACAAGGTTTCTTGCATCAAAAACCAGGGAAAGCAACAAACAGACACAAATGTTTTCATTTCTCAGTGGTCAAATAAATTAAACATGACAAAAATATCCTTAAATAATCTGACATTAAGAAACATTCTCTACATCTTTCATATAAATAAACAATAATAAATTAAATTAAAAAAAAAGACAAAATACAGTAAAGTACAAAAATATACACAGCAGTTCAATATTGTCTGAAACCTGCAGATAATCTAAAAGAACTTGGGGAATAAAAGAGAAAATTTAAAACA